CCTATAATCAAAATTTCCCGTTTGTTATAATTATTAAGCTTCAGGGGTAAATTGAGGTGTTAAAATACAAATACTATGTGCGGTATCTTACTTTATATGAATGGAAATTCAAACTATTTAATTTTATAATGTTTACCCTTGTAATGGTAAATTTGACAAGTTAACTTTGCAGCATTTTCACAAACTTGTACCTCTCACTCATGGAGTGTTGTTACGAGTGAAATACAGCAACAATACTATCTTTCATAGGAAAAATGTTATTTCCTCACGTTATTTTTCCACTGTCATTGTTGACAGTTGGTTTCCTGATAAGCCTAAAAATATGATAATCCTAATGCAATACTTTGCACTTGCTATAATTGAAGGTCATTCGTCCAAATTGTAAGTTGATCAGTCAGTCATTCATTCTTTTGTAGCGAACACCCTCAGTACAGCTAGAAATATTCAATATTTTAATGTCTTCAAACTATTCATTTACTATTTATGCCCCTATCCACAGCATTAAACAATATATGAGGAACCAACGGCCTAACTATGGAACTCACTGGTAACAATGATGAAGTTTGATTGTAGTTAGTTTGTGGTATGCAAACATAGAATGTATTTTCTACCTTCCCAGTTTAATGTAGAAATGTTCAAATTATTTCAATAAGTTTAAATATATGCAGTTTTCATGCAACATATAGTACAGAAAGCTGTTGTCTTCATTTTAGCCGTCTCTGTTCCTTTGTTGTTTTCTAGAAATAATACCCGCTATGCCAGCGGGCATTATCACTTTCAATAGTAAATAAAACCAAAATCAAGAGTAACAAATTTTTATTTCTTGTTTCTGAAGTTCATATATTATGCTATGTTGTAGCCTACAGAGTGCATAATTCTTCTCGTGATTCATGACATGCGCACGTTTTACTGACATCAGGGCAGTGCAAATTGCAACGTTAAATGTCTCTTATGTGACGTCATTTTAGTGTCTCCTGACTGATTGGCAGACAACACACTACTATAAAGTGGTGCGAGTGGTTAAAACAGTTGACCCTTCAGGCGGCCTTCGGCCTCCTTTCGAAGAAGTAAACAATCAAGGGATCAAGAAAGTCAGTTGACGGGAGGATATCTTTAGGGAAGAAAATTTGTCAATGAACTCACGAGTCCAGTAGCAGACAACCATCCAGTGTCCTAATGCAAGTACACTGTGTTTATCCATTGATTTTATTATGTGTTACACATTGTGTTAAGCAGCCTGTTTATTTCGTTGCTTGAACTTAATTAATTTAGTTAAATTCACACTCACTTCGTAATTTATCCTGAAATTACTTCCTTTATAAAGTGGATCAACTTAATACTCTTTGAGGAAATCAGTTTAAACTGAGAATACCACATTTCAAAAAATTTTGCTTTCTCTCAACTAACCACCTTACAATAAAAACTTACTAGTCTTTCACCAACCCCTGCCAATGTAATCGTCTTAGTTAGCCCTCTAAGTACACTGTAGTACTGTACTGTAGTACATGTTTTCCATTACTTTTAGTTTAAAAGTTCACTTTTTTTCGTCTATAGTTTCCAGGGTTGGAACATAGCGTTGTTCAAGCAGGTTTCTAACTATCTTTCCCTAGGAGCTAATTGTGTTAATTCGAGATTAGACACCTTTTTCGATTCACTTACAGAATTAACAACGTGCCCTTTACGTAGCAGATCGGATTATTATCGTTTGCAAATTGGGCAGTAGTTGCAGGTGGACTCATCCACGATTTTTATTTCTCATTGGCAAACTGATCTAACGGGCACTGTTTTCTTGTAGCAGAAACCCAAGGATCTATTATCGCGTTGAAGCCTGGGATAGAAGATTTTTATTTAGATATAGTTTAGAATTTTCAGCAGATTTCTACAAAAATTCTTCCAGATCTTACACACGTTTTATACAGATTATAACACAGTGTATTCACCAGTGTATTAATTTAACATAGAGTGAGAACTAAAGCGCTAACACTAGAATGGTTTAACTTTGGTTTATTATACATTTTTTGTGATATTTTTAAGTCCTCCTACAAGTGTCAGTTGTAGTTTAGCTTAAGATGCTTTTATTTTTACCTAATTTACCTAATACCATAAAATTCTCACCAGTGAATTAAGATTGTTTTTTGCCATATGCCTATGGATTTCAGTGTTCTTAGTGGAGTGTTGACTCTGATATTGTTAGAATTATATACTCTTTGTTCATTAATTAGTGAAGGAATTTTAATTCTCAGTGGAACCCAAGGAAGAAACTTGGATTTTAACTCTTGAGTGTATCCGCATTTTATAATTTAACATTGTGTGGGAAATTGCCTCCAGAGAGAAAGAAAGAAGGTGGACTGATGCAAACAACAAGTAAACACAGAGCTTCAGCAAGACTAAAGTAAGAATTTACTTTTACTGTAGAAAACCTCTATGTATCAGGATGTTTGGGCAATTGATATTGAGGAAAAGTGCATACTGGGAATTGATTTCATGTGGAGACAGCTTTGCAATCTTTGACAAGGAAATCACAGTAAACTAAGTGACAGTTACCACACCAAAGGTTAAACTTCCCATAGAAGAAGAGTAAACATTGTACCACCAAGAAGCGAAATAATCATACCAGGACTTCTTTAAAAAACTTGCATCTAGTGACTGGGCCATAACAGAATCGTATACTCCTGTATTAATGATTGGTAGAATTGTAGATTTGAAGAATCAAGATATCATCATTAGGGCCATCAACACAACAAACCATAAAATTCGAATCAAATATGGTTGAGGTATTGCAAAATGTGAGACTGTACATGTAGTAGTTCCACATCACAGAACACCAGAAGTAGTCACCTTTAAGAAAAGATGTTGAAAGTCAGATGTCAAATCTCTACATAAGGACATCTTACCATTGCACAGGATGCGCAGCTCTGGGACTGTAAGTGCCTTACAGCTCAGCAATACCAGAGATTACACTGCTTGCTCATGGAATACCAAGACATGAAGTCCAATGGACTTCACGATTTAGCTGAAAAAATAAAATATCATATGATTGATACTGGAGATACAGCTCCAATATGCCAGTTAGCCAAACGACTTCTATTTGCAAAATATGCTAATACTTTCAAATAGAAAGAAGCCATGAAGGAACAAGGAAAGACAGAACCGAGTACTAGTCCATGGGCATCACCTATTGTACCTGTGAAGAAAAAAGGATGAATCCCCTAGATTGAGCATGGACTACTAGAAGGTGAATGAAGTTATAAAGAAGGATGTTTATCCACTGCCAAGAACCTATTATACTTTGGATTTCTCTGTGTGGATTAAAATGATTTGAAACATTGAATCTTCAGAGTGCATGTTTGAAAGTTCAAGTCGACAAAGAAAGTAGAGATAAAATAGTCTTTACCACATAAAATGGATTGTGACAATAGTTGTTGTGATTTGGATTATATAAAACACCTGCTATATTTCAACACGTAGTGGAATGTGCTTTGTATGAACTTTCCTGGGATATCATACTAATCTACTTGGATGACATAACTACACATGGGAGGATCTTTGATAATGTAATGGTGGGTTAAGGAAAGTTTTAGATTGGTTGAGAAAATGAAAACCTTAAGCTGAATTATATAGTAAGAGTTATTCCATCAACAGGATAGTTTCCAGCAACATTTAGTCAGAAGAGAGTGAGCGCCTACAGATCCAAAGACTGACTCTGTCCAGGATTGTCCAACGCTAAAGAACATGCATGAAATAATAGGATTTATTTGACTGTACTCTTACTATTGACTTTTGCAAAATCATTATCTGACATAGTTCATCCTCTATAGAAATTATTTAAAACCGAACAAACTGTGTTGAACTACTGATCATGAATAAACATTCAACAAACAAAAGAAGGAATTGACCATTAATTATGTTTTAGAATACCCAACCGTGGATCATGTACTCATTTTGGCACATATGCCAGTGATTTTGTATGGAGTAGGTTTTTTAAAAGTATAAACACGAAAGAGAACATGATTGAATATCATAGCAAGACAATGACTGGAGGTATTGTAAAACTTGGAAAGAACTACTAAATGTTGTTCGAGACTTGTGTCAGTTTTATAATTACTTTGATATGCAAATATTTAAACTTTAATTAAATCATATATCACTGAAGTGGTTGGTGAATTTTCGTAATCCACAAAGCAAGATGTATTAAGAACCATCAGGAGTACAACCATTACATTTTGTATTACTGTATAAGAAATTATGGAATTGCTAAAAATTATCCCGAAGACCATGAGTTAATGAAGAGTGTAAACAATTGAAAGAGGGAAGCATAAGATAGTAAATATAACCAACCTAAAGTACAGTATAGTCCAAGGTGTGGCATCCACAAGGGACAATGAAGAACTAATATGGTCCAGCATTCAACTGGAAGATAATTTAGCAAAAGACAAGAGTTTGAAATAAATTATTCAGTGTCTCCAGAATAATGGAGAAAGACCTTGATGTCAAAGAGTCACTCCATATAGCCATAATACAAAGTCATACTGGGCATAGCGGGATTAATTATGTTTACAAGGAGGCTTATTATATCAGAAATGGAAAGACATCAGTAGACATAAGCAATAACTACAGTTAGTACTTCCACAATTTCTACATTTCACAGCACTTTGTCGTATCCACAACCTTTGAATAACTTGACAATTACGTGTTAATAATTCACAGAGCCGAGTACAAGAATGCTTCTGTTGCCAGAGTTGCTTAGTTCTTTGCCAACCAGGAAGCAGAAACTCTCGTTAATGGATATATTTCAAGATTTGAAGTGCTTATAGAATTTCACTCATATCAAAAATGGAACTTTGAATTAGCCTTGTTTATGGAAATATATCAGATCCGGAGATTAAAAAGACTAGAACAACAGCTATTTGCCCATCTTGTAATGGCATGGTGGAGAGCTACAACCTCACACTGTTATATCAGTTAACCATTAATATTTATGAACATCAGAAAACGTGGGATCAAGATCTTCCATTTTTATTAATGAATTACCATTCAGTAGTAAATAAATGTACAGGCAGCACACCATCATTAGTGATGTTTGGTAGAGGACTTAAGGTGCTATCAGAATTTCTGTACTCTTACTTGGAGAAGAGTCAAAAAGAGTATTGCACGGAATATGTAGAGACTACAGACATTAAAGAACACCATTGACAGTAGACATGAATTTAACATGAAACAATTAACTAATTTAGTAATAAATAAAACAAAAAGTCATTATTATGTTCATGCTGATAAGACTGGATTACATCAAGTTGACATGGTATGGTTGTACAATCTCCGCCTCAAGAAAGGAAGTCCAAAGTTAAGTAGATGGAGAGAGGGATCATATGATGTACTGAAAAGAATCAATGATTTGTTTTACAGAAGGACAGCCAAGGGTCATCCACCATGATTATAATCAAAAGTGTTTTAGTGAGAAAACAGCTAACTGGGTGACTAAAGATGAATTTATTATTGGAAACTAAAATATATTAAAATACTCGATGATCAATGTTTCATAATATACAATTAACATTTTACTTAAAAACACATCAACGGTTGTAAAAAAGGCACGTTATTTTTAGTTGTATGAAAAACAAATGTTGTGCAACATATCAATACAAAAAAAGCCATGGTCATGTGACTAATAGTTTACATATTTAAAAAACAATATCACGCCATTTACTTACTTCCCGATTTTCTAACCCTTCATTCTTATTCAAGATGAAATTATTGTTAAAAATGAACCAAAGTAAAACAAGTACCTAAGAAATAGGAATCTTTAATGCATTTTATTTATTTTCAACTGAAAGCTTTGCATCGCAAGTTTGTGTATTCGGTGTTACATATTAGAATCTTAAATGGTCTGAAATTGAGTTAACTGATAATTTAAATTTAGTAGTTAAATTGTACTTTGGATTTAGTACAGTCAGTTTGTAATAATTGCCAACAAGATTGATACACAGTTTTCTTTTTTTTTAACTTTACAAATATGTTTTAATATACACACACACACACACACACACACACCAGTACAATTTATAATAACAATTATAGCTTTGGTTTTCGTTATGGTATTAATAATACTAAACACTGAAGAATTAGAACAAAGTGTGTTTGCAAAATCTTTTGCAAAAATATAGATTTATCATGTTATTGCCGGATTATATGCTTCTTAATTATGTCGCTAATCTCGGAAAAACTAACTTCAGTCGTTTTGCGAAACGTTTCTCTATCAATTTCTTAGCTATATTTTGCTTGCATCGTATTGTATATAACATTTCTACAGATTATGATAATTAGATAATGACTCGGAATTTTATTTCTTATTGATGTAGATTTCTTGAACGTTGTCAATTTACGATTGACTTTGCTACTACAGGTTAATGAATATACCTTATTAATAGATTAACTGTAACAATAATTGATTTGATGATTTTAAGGTGCTTAGAAACCAGAAAATATATTTTTCCTGCCATTATTTCCACCCACTTTGAGCTCTTGTCAAGTTAACATTTTAATAAACCTTTTCATTAGTTGAATAATTTGAAAAGGGTACGCTCTAGCCAACTAATGTATAGTTGTGCATCTTATCATGGGAAGTTTTAGCGATAGTTAGATAAATATTGTTACGTCTCCGTTTGTTAATTGA